ATGCTTTTAAATCATTCATTTTTACATATAAATCATACCGTTGTGGTCTATATAAATCATAACTGCAATGCTTGGGTCTGAATTCCTCATTATTATAGCTCCACAAGCCCCTTTTCTGATGAGCGACCCGTTTCGAAGCGGCCCCTTTAAATAAAAAGGAGATGCGTCACACCCCGCCCGCTCTCCAGGTCGATGAGTTCACGGTCGGTTCAACTGCCCACGTTCGGCCATTATTGTAGTTTGATTAGAGATATACGATTATATACGATACCTTCAAAGAACATTTTTATTCACACGTTAATAAAATGTCAACAACAGAAGACTTGTCCAATAAGCCTTACATATTCGAGCCAGAGCGAGCGAGTCGATGAAGACGACGACAAACCTGCAGAACAACCTCATCATATGGATGTATTGGTATGCGAGTTAACTGTTTTGTGTTATTAGTGAAAGTCGACTATTTCTCTTGTTAAAACAAGCACACTGACAAGATAAATGACTACGGTCTAATCTTACCACAAACAATCTGTGCTGATAATATGATACGTTTAGAAAAGCAGCTAAATGAGCATTGATGAAACTCAAGAACAATAATACTGCAGACGTGTAACGTTACTTCAAAACCAAAACAAAGAAAGACAAAGGTACTGCTAAAGCATGACCACCATGTGTTTTAAGAAAGTAAAGTACTTTATTTTTATTAACGATATTTACAGCTTATCGAAATGCTCTGTTCGTCGTCTCCAAAGATAGAAGGAATTTACCCCTCATTCAGACGAAGTCGATCGGCAAACCCTTCTGTATAACGTTACTGGCGGAGGCTGTTGAAGTGGGAATCCTTGAAGTGCTTCAGGTCAACAACCGAACATTTTGACTTGCCCTCCCGTAACTTCTGCATCATTGAACTCGGACTACAAAATCGGAGCGAGAAATAATAATGGCGGATTGCTCGAAGTGTTGGACCGGTAGTCGATGTCCTTATTTGGCAGTTCCGCTGCAAATACGGTGACGCACTTGCTCAAAAAACGTCATAGAGAACAGAAAAATCTGAACAGGTTGAAAAACAGGTTTCACCAAAACAGAATATAAAGATATAAACGAAGCAGCTGAAGAGAATAATTTCATCTTTTCTGTACTTATAAACACTCCAAATATACAACAAAATGCATTTAAGGGCTAAAAAAGTGGATTTTGCATGATATGTCCCCTTTAAAAATGTAGTCCATTACAGTTACAAATGACTCATAAAAAAGTATTCAGTAACGTAATCAATGCACCACACGATGGAAACACTGTAATTTGATTGCTTTTGGATTCCTTCAAATACAGTCAAACCAAGAGTTATTCTGAGTCTGACACCAGATATTTTTTCACTAGTGTGATCAGGACACTATAGTTCATTTCTGTAAGTGAGGAGAGCAAAATAAAGTAAACTGTGGCATTTAATTCTTCATACAGTGACATTTGTACAAATTTGGGACCAAAAATGATTCGTCCACTTTGAGCGGATGATGTTTTACTGATCTGAGAACTCTGAGTTTTGCTGCTCATATTTATTACCATTTTCTAAACGATAGCGAATAAACTGTGGTAATGTGAGAAATGTGTGTAAATAAATGTTGGTTTGACCGTATGTGAAGTGAAGTAAAAGCAATATCAGGAGAATGATTGAGACAGGAACAATCGATCGTCATTCATCCTCACACTGCACACCTGTGATAGTCTCTGATTTAGATATCCTCACCTAATCGTCACATGTCACGTGTTAAGCGTGAAGATACGGTGACATATTACACTGAAGTAGGCTGCTTTATGATCATTTAGTGAAAGTAAAAGTTCTTCTTTGGCCAAATTGCATTTCCTCGAGACCCTAAACACAGGCTTTACTCCAGCTTTGTTTACCGAACAACACTTCCTGATGGAACCAGTCTGCCGTTTTCCTGACCTCTGACCTCAACAGGGCGTTTCTCCCACAGATCACTTCCTCAGACCATTCTCTGTAAACCTAGAGATGTGTGTGTGTGTGCATCCCAGTTTCTGAAATACACCAAACTCCTCGTTCAAAGTCTCTAAATCTTCATCTTCCTCATTCGGACGCTCAGTTTGGGCTTCAGCAGAGCGTCTTCATCATCTCTGAAGCGTTAGTTACCGCCACGTGATTGGCTGATTAGATATCTGCGTTAACGGCAGTGAAGATAAATACATAACGTGAGACGTGAGATAAATACATAAAACATAATAATAAATTATGTTACCCTTATGTGATTTGCAAGAATGCAATTTTGAACATTTTTTATTTAGAATTGCTCAATATTTAGGAATTGTTAACCAACTGAAACATTATTATAACTTTTATTTTACATTTTGGAGGGGGAAAAAACTTTTTTTGAAATATACATAAATTTGACTTAATTTAAAGGTTAAATGTTTTGTGAATACTTTGAATGGAGGAGTTTTTGAAGTCCGGTTTACCCATAATGCCCCAGGGCTGATGATGACGCTGTGCCGTGTCTCTGTCCCGCAGCCACCGACGGCCGGTACCGGGGTTTAGGAGACGTGCTGAGGACACTGTTACGGGACGAAGGAGCTCGCGCTCTCTACAAAGGCTTAAGCGCAGTCATGTTACGAGCGTTTCCAGCTAACGCGGTGAGGAAACACACATCTCACAACACCAGCGCTACATTATAAGAGTTTAAGAGTGCTGATGAGTGTTGTCCTGCTCTCAGGCGTGTTTTCTAGGGTTTGAGGTTTCGCTAAAGTGCCTGAACTACATTGCTCCAGACTGGTGACTTCACAGTGACAACCGACGAGGGATATTTCAATGATCTAAACACATTGTGTTTTTTATGTAGCATTGTTTTCTGACAGCCTTTAAGTGGCAGAAAGACTGATGGATGGTTTATCTTTTCCTTGCCATTTGATTCAGAACAGATGTTGTGCCTTTACAGTCAATCCCTTACATTTCTAAGACACTCTCTCACAGTATGTCATGCCTATTACTTGAATGAATGTATTTATCATGAATGTTACCTTATTATGTTAATTATTTGCAATTTAATAATAGCATTACTGTTTAAAGGGGTGGTATAATGCCCTTTTCACAAGAATAAATCTCTGATGTCCCCAGAGTGTGTGTGTGTGTGAAGTTTTAGCTCAAAATACCCCACAGATATTTGTATTTAGCATGTTGCAGTTGTCACTTTTTGAGGGTTAGCAAAAATGCACCGTTTTGTGTCTGGCCCTTTAAATGCAAATGAGCTGCTGCTCCAGAGACACAGTGGGTTAGTGACGTCTGATTTGACATCACTGCAGATTTGACTTTATCCCTTCAAAAAAAACAACAACAAAAAGCATACTTGATAATAACGAAATGAAACCTACACAAAAATGGGAATTTTTCAAGTTTAAAATTAGAGAAATAGCAATTAGACGAATTAAAGCAATTAAAAAAGAGAGTATAGCAAGAGAAATAAGTATTATGGATAATTTAAATATTTTGATGAATAAAAAAGAATGAATCTCAAGATTTGTCTACCCTGCTCTTTCTCTTCATTTTCATGATTCAATATGTAAAGATATAAATACCATATTTACTAATTTTGTGTGGAAAAACAGACACCATCATTTAAAAAAAGCGGTGCTCTCTGGTTCTAAGGATGAAGGTGGATTTGAACTTTTAGATTTTTGTGACTTAAATTACACCTTTAAGGTAAAATGGTTAAAGGAATGTTTAAGAGCACCTGATTCCTTATTGTATTTTATCCCCAATAATATTTTTAATAGTATAGGAGGCCTAAAATTTTTATTGAAATGTGACTATAATATTACAAGATTGCCACTCAAACTATCACAAATGTTCCTTTTGTAATGTATACGAAGAAGACTTGGCTCATTTGTTTTATGAATGTGATTTATCTCAAAAATTTTGGTCTGATGTTAGTCATTTTCTTTTTGCCCCAAGAAAAATTGATTATAAATTATCTCTAAAAGATGTTATGTGTTCTTATACACACAGAAGCAAATTGTGTGAATATGTGGTGAATTTCTTCATTTTGCATGGTAAATATTATATCCATAAGCAAAAATTTGCAAAATGCATTCCAAAATGTAATCTATTTTTAATAGAGATTGAATCGCTGAGGAAGTCACTTAAATTAGTTAAAAATAAAAAGAATAAAATGTTGTTAAACTTTATGGAGGAATTCTTCGTATTGTAATTGATGCCCCTACTTATATGAACATTAAAAATGTCTATAGGAAAAGAAAGAAATATTGAGCTTTTTTTTTGTATATTTTTTTTAGTTTTTATTTGTTGTTTTTTTTTAAACATGTTTCAATATATGTGATATCTGTCATGTGAAGCATTCCTGTTATATATTGTATTTTGTACTTGGATTTATTTCTTAATAAAAAAAATAAAATAAAAAAAAACTTAACTTACATGCAACTATGAAAAGTACTTTGTATATGACATCGATCAATACTTGTATTATCTAAAACCAATAACCATTTAAAAAATGTATCCCCCTTCTCCTTTTTATATATCTGTTTCATTTTGCTATTATGTGTTATTGCCTGTATGTTGTTTTGAGATTATATATTTTTTTATTTAACATTAATGGATTTGATCATTTTGAGTTCAATGACCTGCACACTATTTCCAGTGTGAATGTGCAAGACTTCATGAAACCTTCACTGATGAAAGCGGAAGCCAGACGCATGTAATTTACAAAGGACAACACTCTTGCGCCAGCAGTACGGCAAAATAATATCCATGACAGATCCCTCTAAACTGTAATGTGGATTCGTGCATTTTCTGTAAAGCTGTTTCGAAATGCGCTATACAAATATGAATTAAATAACACTGTCCTGGACAGTCATCTGAATAAATTAAATTAACATTTCACACCAATTTCATGGGGATAATCAGTCCAGTTTCATCTCCTTGACGTCGTTGAAGGAAAACACCTTAAACACACGATAATAAACATGACAGTGTAACCAGTTTTATCCTTTTATTTTAAGTTTTTATTTTTATTTTCAACAATATCAAATGTCTATTTATCCCTAAAATGTATTTAACAAAATAAGACCAACTCTCACATGCTTCTGATCAACTCTCATTCAGGCAAATAAGATGCATATGTGCATTGGGAGATGAATCAGTACACAGAAGAACTCGTAACGGCTATTACTGTCATCTCAATACAAGGTTTACTAAATCCTATAAATACTATTACTGTCATAATCACTGATCCAACAAATGAGCAATTTAACATGTTCAGATATTTAGGAAAATTAATACAAATGACGTGCATTACTAGTAAAAGAGCTACTTTCCTCATCCTATTTTTTTCTGAAGGGTAAAGTATTCTGTAGAATTAAGTAGAAATCTGCGGATCCGCAGTCTAAAGGCATTACACACACTGTGTGTGTCCTGAGGTCTTGAAGTCACAGCTTTCCTTCAGCTCATATCTGACTGTCCACGCACAAACCTGAGGATATAACACTCCTGACAAGGACCAGGTGAAGCTCTGGGTGTGTGTCTCCTGCTTACAGTGGTAAGGCCAGGTTATCTGAAGGGCGATGTGTCCGGACACGAGTTCCTCACCGTTATGTGCAGTTCTGTATCCTGTGATGGAGAGCTTCCGCCTGGGCTTTCAGACCGAGGAATTCCCCCTGAACAAAGTCTGTCACGGTTTTTCGCATTTCCATCTGTAAGGAGACCAATGCTGTTCTCAACTGCAAGACTACCAGTTTGAAACACTCGCATCTCAGGGTCACATGACCACCTACCGGACTGGTGTTATCCGCTCTCAGCCCGTTCACCAGATGTTTGACTGTGAAGGGTTTTCCAACGAGAACAGTTATTCGCTGCACACAACCAAAGTAGAGTCAAAAGTGTGCGACAACGGGAGATAAGTGATGTGACGTGTGTGTATTAAATGTTAGTGTGTATTAACCTGCCCCACTCGAGGGATGTATGGAGATTGATTTGGCAGGACATCATTCAGCCCTGAACAAAAAGGTCCACAAGTAAGAAACAGCTCATCATTCATGAAGTTGTGTGGTATGGATCATCTTACGCCACTCAGGCCAGATTCACTGACCGCTCACTGAATTTCAGACTCAGTATTTAAATGAATCACGCAAGGTGATTTACTGGTGTTCGCGCTCGTCAGCTTGCGCTACTCTTGGTAGATTGCACGGGTCATTATGTAAATGAATTGACGGCGTCTGTGTTGTTTAATGTGTGTGTCGTCAGTAGATCACGGCACTCCCATTGGCGCTTTTGGGGAATTGCGCTCTCACGCTAATTTGCCCGGTTCAGTAAATCTGGCCCTTGAACTTGTGCATGCGTCACTTACCCATATGCCACATTGGTAAAATGATTGGGTGAAGCGAGCACTCTGCAATCAAACGTCCAATTCCTGTAAAGAAACATGGATTTACTTAACTAAAGGGTGAAACCAGAGGGATCTTGTTATTGGAGCATAAATCTTACCCCATTTTATCCTCATGAAGTCTCCAGACATGTTCACTTTACCTGGGAGAAGAAAACGTACCATAACATTAGCATAGTTGTACACTAAACTACGGAGGCGTATTGCATTCACTTGAAGAAAAAAAAATCTACTCTGTTTTTCTGAATTAATGAGTTAATTTTTCATGAGAAAATTTATTTTTGCCGTTTTTCTGAATTAACTCATTAATTCAGAAAAACAGAGCAAAATTTTTTTTTCTCATGAAAAATTAACTCATTAATTCAGAAAAACAGAGCAAAATTTTTTTTTCTCATGAAAAATTAACTCGTTAATTCAGAAAAACAGAGCAAAAAAATTTTTTCTCATGAAAAATTAACTCATTAATTCAGAAAAACAGAGCAAAAAAATTTTTTCTCATGAAAAATTAACTCGTTAATTCAGAAAAACAGAGCAAAAAAATTTTTCTCATGAAAAATTAACTCATTAATTCAGAAAAACAGAGCAAAAAAATTTTCTCATGAAAAATTAACTCGTTAATTCAGAAAAACAGAGCAAAAATTTTTTTTTCTCATGAAAAATTAACTCATTAATTCAGAAAAACAGAGCAAAAATTTTTTTCTCATGAAAAATTAACTCGTTAATTCAGAAAAACAGAGCAAAAAATTTTTTTCTCATGAAAAACTAACTCATTAATTCAGAAAAACACAGCAAAAAAATTTTTTCTCATGAAAAATTAACTCGTTAATTCAGAAAAACAGAGCAAAAAAATTTTCTCATGAAAAATTAACTCGTTAATTCAGAAAAACAGAGCAAAATTTTTTTTTTCTCATGAAAAATTAACTCATTAATTCAGAAAAACAGAGCAAATTTTTTCTCATGAAAAATTAACTCGTTAATTCAGAAAAACAGAGCAAAAAAATTTTCTCATGAAAAATTAACTCGTTAATTCAGAAAAACAGAGCAAAAATTTTTTTTTCTCATGAAAAATTAACTCATTAATTCAGAAAAACAGAGCAAAAATTTTTTTCTCATGAAAAATTAACTCGTTAATTCAGAAAAACAGAGCAAAAAAATTTTTTCTCATGAAAAATTAACTCGTTAATTCAGAAAAACAGAGCAAAATTTTTTTTTCTCATGAAAAATTAACTCATTAATTCAGAAAAACAGAGCAAATTTTTTTCTCATGAAAAATTAACTCGTTAATTCAGAAAAACAGAGCAAAAAAATTTTTCTCATGAAAAATTAACTCGTTAATTCAGAAAAACAGAGCAAAAATTTTTTTTCTCATGAAAAATTAACTCATTAATTCAGAAAAACAGAGCAAATTTTTTTTTCTCATGAAAAATTAACTCGTTAATTCAGAAAAACAGAGCAAAAATTTTTTTCTCATGAAAAATTAACTCATTAATTCAGAAAAACAGAGCAAAAATTTTTTTCTCATGAAAAATTAACTCGTTAATTCAGAAAAACAGAGCAAAAAAATTTTTTCTCATGAAAAACTAACTCATTAATTCAGAAAAACACAGCAAAAAAATTTTTTCTCATGAAAAATTAACTCGTTAATTCAGAAAAACAGAGCAAAAAAATTTTTCTCATGAAAAATTAACTCGTTAATTCAGAAAAACAGAGCAAAATTTTTTTTTTCTCATGAAAAATTAACTCATTAATTCAGAAAAACAGAGCAAATTTTTTTCTCATGAAAAATTAACTCGTTAATTCAGAAAAACAGAGCAAAAAATTTTTTTTCTCATGAAAAATTAACTCGTTAATTCAGAAAAACAGAGCAAAAATTTTTTTCTCATGAAAAATTAACTCATTAATTCAGAAAAACAGAGCAAAAAAAAATTTCTCATGAAAAATTAACTCATTAATTCAGAAAAACAGAGCAAAAAATTTTTTTCTCATGAAAAATTAACTCGTTAATTCAGAAAAACAGAGCAAAAATTTTTTTCTCATGAAAAATTAACTCATTAATTCAGAAAAACAGAGCAAAAAAATTTTTCTCATGAAAAATTAACTCATTAATTCAGAAAAACAGAGCAAAAAAAATTTTCTCATGAAAAATTAACTCATTAATTCAGAAAAACAGAGCAAAAAAATTTTCTCATGAAAAATTAACTCATTAATTCAGAAAAACAGAGCAAATTTTTTTTCTCATGAAAAATTAACTCATTAATTCAGAAAAACAGAGCAAAATTTTTTTTTTCTCATGAAAAATTAACTCATTAATTCAGAAAAACAGAGCAAATATTTTTTCTCATGAAAAATTAACTCGTTAATTCAGAAAAACAGAGTAGATTTTTTTTCTTCAAGTGAATGCAATACGCCTCCGTACTAAACACATATTAAGATTAAAAATATGAGTGTCTGTACCCTCTGGGAATATGTGTACCCATTCCCCTTGATTCAACTTTTCCAACAAGAAATCCATTCCCTTCTGATAGACTCCATCTCCTGAAAAACAGGACAGTTGGGCTTCACGTTATCAGCTCGAGGGTCTTCTATATAAACACTTCATTTAAAAAGCCCTGAGAACTGTACTATTAGCATGTCTTTGTGATTGATCATATTTGACTGTCATTAGGTGGAGATAAGTGAATCTTCTTCTAATCGTATTCAGTGTTGGGTGTAACTAATTAAGTAAAGTAATTAGTTACAGTAATTTAATTACTTTTCCATTGAAAATGTAAAGTAAGGGATTACTCTTCATTTATCTGTAATTTAATTACAGTTACTTCTGATGTAATTGAGGTAAATACTCTGTCAATCAGATCTCACAGCGATTTGTATGTATTTTATGAGGTGTCTAAATCGTACGACCGCACTCGTATGAATTATTGTAAAATATGTATGAAATGTCATGAGATCAGACATAAAACAATAGTGGTTTTAACATCAAAATGTATTGTCTTGTGTATTGTTTTTATAATGTAACCTTCTCCACCTTGGTCAGTTTAAGGATAATTCGTGCAATTTTATAGTATTTATTTGAAAGAATTAAAACAGATTCATGTCTATCCTTGTATTATTCAGCTGGTTGAGATTGATATGGGATTTTGAAAGTAATTAGTAATTAAAAGTAATTAAATACTTTTTAAAGAGAGTAATCTAATTACACTGTTGAAGAGGTAATTAGTAACTAGTAATTAATTACTTTTTTAGAGTAACTTACCCAACACTGATCGTATTGCACAGATGAGATTAAGCTTATTCTTTACTATCTCTCCAATCCCACTACTTCTAAACACAGGAGCCTGCCTCCAACACAAGGCATATTGCTTTTAAAACAATCAAATATTTCAGACTAGCTTATGTGAAAATGCAGATAATGGCTTCAAAACAGAATACCAGGATAAAAATATACCAGAGGACAGCACAATATTAAAGCGGCGTTATACAAGTCTAAAGTCACCCTGCCATAATAATGAGTGTGTGAGTGCAAACTTCATGAATGAAATGAGCACAATGATCAACTCAAATACATCACACACATGTTCTACTAATTGATATGTATATTTAATGTATATGTTACACGAATGACTGAGTCTGAAATCAAATATCTGCATCAGAAACAAGAGCTGGATATGGATATTGAGATCAGGTTTGGGCTCCGCTGCACAGCCCTATTTCAGACAGCCCACTCCATCAGTGTTTTCACTTTTGCATGCAAACGAGATTACTTGCTAATAAAAATGCATTATTGACTGAATTTTGATTTAGTATATATATTTTTAGTCTAAAACAACCTGTGTGAAATAAAAGCAGAAATGATCAAATGAGTCATTGGAGGAGTTTACCTCGGACCACAGGCACACATTTCCCTCTGCTGAAGAAGCGGGAGTGGAGCTCTCTCGTGAAACAGATATCAGATGCAGCAGGTGCCCTAGACACACACACACACACACACACACCAGACGACATGATATGAACTGACAACTCCTGTACACGAGTCTCCAGATCCGGCCTTCCTTCACACACACCATCTCATCCTGTTGTAGTTCCACAGCTGCCGGAGCTTCAGGACTCCTGAAAAACAGCACATGCGTGTCAGTGTGTGCGCAGCGAGAGTGTGTGTGCGCTCCACAACACCAGCGTCCCGGGCTCGCCTACCCCAGAGGTGCGGGTCGTCCATGCAGGACTGGTGATTGCACAGTGTGATGAGTGGCGTGTCCCGAGGACGCTCGTCCACCAGCTCCAGCAACGCGCCCGGGTTGTGCACCATCAGAGAGTTGAAGTACTCTAGTGTCAGGCAAATTCAGAGACGTTATTCCTTAAGTTCATAGCACACATTATTCAAAACATAAGTGTGGAGAAACATCGGCCTCACTGGTCCAGAGGTAACTGTAGGAGCCCACCATCCCCGTGATGACCGTGCTGGAGAGCCTCCAGCCCAGGCGAGGGCATTGTGGGAAGGGCCAGGCCACCTCCAAGGGCATCTCACACACTGGCACAACACACACACACATGCTTTAACAGCTGAACGAGTCTGTCAGGAATGTACATGTGTGTGCAGTTCATTTTTGCTTGAGTTGTGGCATAGACCTGTTTACGCATTTGTCCAACTACAAATAATACAGCAGGAGCAGCCGTTAATGCAAATTGCACAATCTTGAGAAATAGTGTGTGTAGTAATAATAGCGAACACACAGAACACAGCGACAAAGTATGACATAAATGAATGTTGGATGCTAAAGACAACTTCCTCATTTTAAAATGACACGTGTATTGTAAACAAGATAACAGCACTGTGTATCGTTATGGGTGTAGTTCTTTGTTTTGAGATTTACTGTAATAGCAGTGTTAATATTAACGTGAGGTTGATTTAGTGCGAAATGTAAGGTTAGTTGTGATCTTCCCACCTTCTTCTTCTGTCCCGTCAGCTGAGCCGATAGATGGCCAAAAATGCAGCGGAACCGGAAACACCAATTCTAACGTGAGGGATCATGGGAGGTGTAGTTTTATAGTCGTTATTGGAATCCCAGATAGCAAACTGACATTGAATCAACGTGGAAATATGACATCGAAACAACGTTGATCTGACATTGTTTTGCTCATCGAATTAACGTTGAACCAACGTCAGACGCGTCATTCGTTCAAAACTAACGGAAAATCAACTTGAAATCAACGCGTTGTTTCAACGTTATGAAAGCAAACCAATTTTCGATTTTCATTTAGCTTTGAAGAATGCCGCGTCTGACGTTGGTTCAACGTTAATTCGATGAGCAAAATCAACGTTGTTTCAATGTCATGAGAGACGTCGTTTCCACGTTGATTCAATGTCAGTTTGCTATCTGGGATAGATATCATATAGAGACTAGATACCCTATTGGCCGCTGGAAAACGAGAAATCTGGCCGCCATCTTGAACCGGTCGTATTCCTAGTTTCGTTGCGTGGCAGCAGATAAGATGCCAGAGCACTGTGGAGCATTTTCCTGTTCTAATCGCCGGACCACCGAAAATAGGGCTTTTCACAAGTAAGTCTTATCATTCCCGTACTATTGGTTGTATTTTGTGAATAGAATATTACCAGATAATCGAGAAGAAGCAAGGATATTTGCTATTACTGTACTGAAATCGTTGTGAAATGCTGTTTACTGCATCAGCCGGTGTTCACCCGGCATGGAGAGGTGGGGTAACTGTTAAAGTAATAATTACAAGAGCTACTAGGTTGTCAGATAAGCATTCAACTGCCCTGTTGTATAGGTTATTTGTGTTTGCGCACATCAGCTAGGGAGCAACACTATACACGCATGACAGCGATGCGCAAATTGAGTTACCTCTCCAACTTCTGGTTTTATTGATAACCTATATCTTACCACATGCGATTTGGCTATTGATATTACAGAAGTCCTGTGGTAAAATAAAATTACATTAACTTACTCCATCTACCCTTGTAAAGTTAATCCGAATAGGGCTTTAGTCTCGACATTTTGCCCTCCTACATCTACATACAATAAAAAAGGTATAGGCTTAAAGTCCCCGTGAACCGGAAGTTGCAAACGATTTTTCTCCAGTGCTGTGACGTATTTCCAAGTGAAACGGAATATTGAACAGAGGGCAGGGTTTTACTCTAGCGCTCCTCCTCTCCATCTCTCGCTCATAGTAAACTAACGGTTTGAGGGGAGTGGTTACGCGTTTCCCCACCCAAACTGTGAAGCCTACGTCATCAGAAAAAGAAACCGTTCCAGGCCGGAAGTAACTTTTCAGATTTTAGATTAAAGATTACTAAGGTAAAACATTTTTTAAATATATATTCACTTGCACGGATTAATTGTTCACCACAAGACTAGTAATATGCGCTAACAAAGTAAATAGGTTCAATTTTGATTTCACGGGGACTTTAATGTCCGAATTTAATTTTTAGAAATTAACGTTACAGAATACAGATGCAAACACGTTGAAAAGCTTCTTCTCAATTTTTATTACAGGTGGCTGCGTTCGGTGGATTCGGTGGCTACGTTCTGTGTGTGTGTGTGTGTGTGTGTGTGTGTGTGTGTGTGTGTGTCTGTTCGTGTGTGTGCGTGTGTCAATCATAAGCTGTTTCTTCAACTTATTAAAATATCTTACTTTACTGCTACTATCTGTTTCTGCTTCTTTATTATATTTATAGTGTGTGATTTATAAAATACATTACATCCTTCATCACATTGTGTCTGGTCACTTTATATCTTATATCAGAATATTATATTACTGTTAACCTACAATGGATATTAAAATACGCCGAACCATGTGTCCTGTATCATAGCTACATGAATGACCTTTGCAGCACAAAAAACCCGCGTGAAAATCAGTTCAGTATTCAGTGAGATATGATTAATTTAATGCGCTGACTGACAGCTCATTTCACCTGCCATTCAGATTACACTGAGCGGAGCGGATGACCGGTTTAAGATGGCGGCTCCAATTCTCGTCCGTGCCAATAGGCAGTAGCGGTCGATAGGGCGTCTACCTATATGATATCTATGGTTATTGGTTTCCATGGCCTTGAGGGATCTATTTTAGCGAACGAAAATGTTGCAGGACCGAAGGGTGTTTATTTAATTTTTATCAACAGAAAAGAAAAGTATGTTACAAATACTACACAATAGAAGAAATGCACAGATTTGCGCAGTAGGGGGATTCATGTAGCCTACATAAACAAAATAAAAATAAATAAAATAAATAAATGAAAAAAAAAAAAATTAGCCAAAATAAATGAGCCACAGTTTCAGGGCAACCGTCTCAAAAAGTGCAATTAAAATCAACATCGCTTTTAAATTTCAGAAAGTAATGTTTATCTGAGGTAAATCCTATGTATAATTTTGAATGATACCTCTTAACTTTGTTATTAAGTATTGATTAGGTATGCAAACCCTTCTCCACACAGTCTGTCAATTCATTCCAGTATGAGTAAATATAAGGCATGAGACACTTTGAATAATGCTCTTATGGATCTGTTTTGTGAGTTAGGGGAAAAACCAAAAAGATTACCTATACGCACTTACCATTGTTGAATATTAAGTCTTTTCTGATGTCTAAACAGCAGATATCAGGAGATATTGCATAAAACCTTTGCCTTTGCATAGTCCCATGGTGTCACAGCCTCAGGAATCTAATAATGTGCAAAAATTCAGTAAGTGAAAACTGAAAAGATAACCATTTAAATTAAATATCTGATCCACCAATGTGATGCCATTATCAAACCAATATTTCAAAAACAATGTTTTTCGTTGATATATCCAATGGATATCCAATTATATATCCAATTATATATCCATAGTATTTCATATATTTTAATACTTGAAAAGTCTTGCTTGAAGATCAAGGACCATGATTGCGATGAAATTCAGATAATTTCACTGGTATTTTGTCAATGATATAATTACAATTAAGAAGTAGCCTAAATGTATTTAAGGTTAGAAAGCATGAAGGGATAAAGTATTTTTTTATTTTTATTTTTTATTAGAATGCAGATTACAAACATACAATCATCACAGTTCGTAAACAGAAATTATATAGCAAAAAAATAAATAAATAAACATCAGAATAAAATTAATTGAAAAAAAATAGATAAAGAAAATAAAAAAATAAAAATACATAGCTTAAATAGACAGACGTACAAACTAACTATAACAAGAGAAATATATTCCTAGATTTTCACTTAAATATTTTAGAGTTGCTGATATCGCTTTCTTATTTTTAACCCTTATCAAAGACTCAAAATATATGTCAGTTTCCATTTGAAAAAATTTAAAACATGTCTTTGCTTTAGAGAATTTCGCTTTGTGAATATGGAATTTGCCGAGTAAAATAAAAAGGTTTACAATATTACACAAACTACTCTCTACAATCAAAATATGTAATAATCTGTTTCCTTTCAATTGTTATCGTTTTCTTTGTTTTGATTGACAGGTAATTTTCAACATTTTTCCAAAATGTAATGCAGAATGAACAACCATAAAAGAGATGAGGTAACGATTCTTCTTCTGTCATACAAAAACGACTTTTTTTCGACAGGTTTAAATTTAGAAATAAGCAAGTTTGTGGGATTATATATATTGTATAGCCTAATATTTTCAGATGTAATTCCCTAACTTTGTTTGAGATACAAAATCTAAAAGGAACAAGCAACGCTCTATGCCATTTAATCTCATAAAAAAGAGAATTCCAAAAAAATTTCCCACGAGGTGTTATTTTCTTTGCATTCAAAAAACTATTTCTAATATGTTTATTAGTACAATTGCTACTCATAATATCCATACCATTTATATAAAGAGTCAAATTAACACCAGGAATATCATTTTGTTTATTATAGCTTTTCATTAGTTCTAATATACCATTAGGTATGGACTTGAAAACTAAATTATATTCTTTGAACGTTATTGGGAATGCCTTTTCTCTGAGAAAAGAATCAGTTAAGTAATTGATTATTACCATCAAAAAGGTCTTTTAAAAAAATGATATCTCTATCGACCCATTTCTGCAAATAGAGTGACTTGTTCCTTCTAGTGATGCATTCATTATTCCAAATGATGGCCTTGTGTGGAGAGAAGTTGTGAGAGTGACACAGCTTCCAGGCCAAAAGAGCTTGTTGATAAAGCTTTACATGGGTAGATTTTATGAAGTATTTTGAAATGTAGGCTACCTCTTTAACTTTATTCAGCATACAAAATTTATATGGATTTAACCACGCCTCTTTCCAATGAATATCAGCAATTAGTGCATTCCAAAAAAAATTGCCTCTAGGAGAGATTTTATGCTTAATTGGATTGAAAAAATAATCTAACGTTTTTATTATTACAGGAATGAGAGAATAGTTTGATACCATCAATTATTAACTCGGGAAGTTTCCTTTCGTTACTTCCATAACTAAGGTGACTTTTCATTAAATGTTTTAACCCATCTGGAATTGCTTTTACAACTAGCTGAAACTCTTTCGCTGGAATGGGGAAATTGTAGGTAAACATAAATGCTTCATAAGACAAAACATTTCCAATTTCATCAAACAAATCCATGACAAAGTATATATTTCTTTCAAACCATTTGTGTAAACATTTTTTCCTAAAAAAGCTGATGACGACACCGTCTGATCTTTGGTTAACCAATCAGCGGAAGGGAACGTCACGGCTCAGCCCGCTGAAGATGGCCGCGTGTGACGTCAGAGCTCATCGCACTCAAGATGGCCGCTATGTGGACGGTCTCCGGGAACGCTAGGATGATTTTATATCTTTTTATCTGTGTGTTCGCAGCAGCGAAGAGCGACGAGCAAGTGCCCCTGGTCGCATGGGCGAGTGACGGGTAAAGCACTGATATGATATCACATTAGTCATGGAGAATTGACTGCGATAGTTAGCTTTGGCAGTTTGCTAGCTGAATGACACGGTCGCTGTCCAGTACTGAAACTCCTCTGAGCGAACAATATGGGTTAATTCTCGAATAAAATCCAACATATCGTGTATTCTAAGTTAGAATTTCTAACTCTTATTAATCAACGGACGTAATCGTGTTTACATAAGTGTCGGGCGGTGATGGCTATAAGTTATCAAGCCCAGTAACCCGTCAAGACCGTCATTGATGTTACCATTGGCCTGAATCCGATTTTTGCGTTGTTTGTAAAATTTCTAATCATGACTGTAATTTTATGGGTTTGTCTTTTCGTATGGTGTGTTGTGCGTGTGCAGGTTTGTCCTGTCTCCTGTGAATGCTCCATCATCAGGTCACACTGTGTCTGTGGATGAGCTGGAGTCCGTCCTGAACCGAGCCCTGAGCACTTCCCCTCATAATCTACTGCTCTTCCTGCAGGATAAAGTACACACATTCATATCTATCAGTCTATACTTCCAAACATTTCTTCTTCTAATATAATAATAATCCAGTCAGTGAGATTTTTTGATTGAGTAAGGAGTCCTATAACAGATGTCTGTTACTGCGTTCACTGTGTCACCACAAGGACCAAACAAAACCAGAACTACAAAAAAAGACATGAGAGATATACATTTCTATGAGAAACAATAATAAAGACAACAATCTGAAGTGATTTATTGTTTCTTTCTATTGAAATGTATAACTCAAATGATTCGGCTAGTTCAGGCAGTGTTGATCTTACGGTTTGAAATCCTCTTGTGTTTGATTCAGTTGAGTGTTGATGACTTCACGATGTACGGAGGAGTGTTCGGGAACAAACAGGATAGTGTCTTCCAGAATCTGGAGGTATGCTGATGTGTTCTCCATCTGATATGTATTACTGCTTATGATTATGACTTGTAAGATTGGTGCCAGGCAATATAATTCTTCAGAAATGTATTAGGAAAATGTTTTGTGAAACCACGATTATACTCTTTAGAATACATCAGTGTGTTATTTCAGATAAATCACCTTGAAAAGACGTGAATAAGCATGTCGGGTGTTGTGTTGGCGTCCGCAGGCGTCTGTGCAGTCCTCCTCCTCCCTATGGCTGCCGTGTGTGTCGTCGTCCGCCACGGCTCAGGTGTCTACACTGCTCCAGAACCAGATCGATGCGGCTCCGCTCTACATGAACCCGGACACGCTCGCTCAGCTCCGACTCAACACGTCAGTGCCGGCCCTGCTGGTGTTCCGGCTCCCGTACAGCAACGAGTACGTCTCTTCCAGCGCACAATACTGTACTAGCTCGCTTTTTTAAAACATTATTAGATACAAATCAACTCATGCAAATAGTAAGTCCCTTCCAGTTATCATCTCCAAAAATAGTGTTTTTTTAAATAGATTTTCTGTCCCAATTCAAATCATCAAAGTCTGGTTCAGGTCTTGAAGAAATTGCTCAGAGTCGAGGTTTCAGGTCTCAGAAGAAGTAACTTTATTGAGCAGTTCAACAAAGTGGGATGCCAGCTGGCCATCTGATCTTACAATGGTCTGCACTCATTTCTTATACCTTGTGGTAGCCAATTAGCGCTCAAATTGGTATCTTTTCTCTCTTTGCTCCTCCTTATTACTCCTCCCAGATTACGAACACCTGCATCATTCATTTATTTTTAATTGGGGCAACCTTTTTCGTGCATGCGTATCTTTTTTCTTAATAAAATGGGCATCTGTATTAGTATCTTTTTACACAATGGGCTCCTTGTTTTAGTATGCTTTTCTCGGTGGCACATTGTTACATTATATACAATCTGTTTCTCTCCCAGTGCCTCCCAACACTCCCAAGTGTTTTTTGGGTACTTTTCCACTCTCTCGTCCCTGTCCTCATGTACCCTATGACCCTAGTTTTTTCTGCTTGGCATTACATCACATGCACGCTTCTTTCACATGTACATAGGACAAGCAGAATTCTCCAACAATAGTAATGTTACATATTTAGTTAAGTGCAGTGGTTCATGCTGAAATAGCTGAAGAAATATGAAAAATATGATGAAACTCGTGTGTCCGTCGGCACTACAGGAGCTGCCACATTTCTCACTAAATCAACAGTGGAACAGTGCATTATGGGATACAGTATCTTGCTATGTTACAAACTGTAGATTTTGAAGTATTTAGTCATCATGAGGGTATTCCATGATTACAGAAAACATGTTGACTACAAACATTAGTACACTAGTAGAGTATGACATTCTGAACACAGCCATTTGCAGGATGGGCATTAATGTTTTTGATGAAAACTGACAATTTCGGATCTTCTTTAAATCTGTAAAGGAGATGAGTAAAGCGAAACTCTTGATGTGTAAGTTGTGTTTTTCTTACAGGGCTGATATGATGTCTACTAAAGAAGTGCTGAGTGGAAACGGTACGTGTATTAACTCCTGCAGTTATGCTGATTATTGCAGAAAAGCCCAGATGAAGTGAATGTGATTGTGTCTGTTGTAGATGAGGTGATGGGTCAGGTGCTGAGCATCATGAAGGCTCAGTCTGTGCCGTACACTGCAGTGTTCACTGCGCTGGGACCCTCCAGGGTAAGACCCCTCTCACACACACACACACACACACAGGCACCGTTTCTTCACGTTGGCCCCAGGAGGCCGTGTGCTGGTGTGAGCTGGAGGTGTGTTGTGTGTGTCTCAGGTGATCGAGGAGTCTCCGGCTGTGCACTCGGTCTGGTCCCGCTCCCTCCTGCAGTCCCGTCGGGAGGACGCCCCCGTCCCCAACCCGCCGCTGGAGTTTAAGGAGAAGGGCTCCGTCTGCATCCTCCTGTGGGCCGAGTCAGTGGTGGTCAGCCAGTATCGCTCTGGGAAGTGGGAGAGGCATGACCTCACCTCCAAGACCTTCGGCAGAGGCGTGACCCCCGACCTGTCCGGGTCCTCCTGCAACGAGACCCACTCTCGGTAAATACTCCGGGTTGGTGTGACGACCCCCTGTGGTGGAGATCAAGTTTGTTCTTGTTGTATTTATGTCTACATGCAGGGCTGGACAATAATTAATATCAATATATATCACAATATTTTTTTTCCAATAGTGATGAAATGATTTTTAAACACATTTCTGATACCTCAATATACATTACAGGCATGGGCTACGTTCACACGCACCCAGATAATCCATTAGTAATCGGCTCGGACTGAAAAGCCTTCATTTAAACACCCTATTGGATCAGATTGACAGCAGTGATGTATTCCTCTTCTAATACGATCGAGAGGACATGTAAACACTTGATCGGATTGAAAACCCAAACTGAAAGGACTGCGCTTGTGCAATTTTATTTATTTATTTAACCAGGAAGTCCCTTGAGACTGAGTCTCTTTTCCAAGGGAGACCTGGCCAAGACGGCACACCAGATTCAACTTAAATACAAAATACAACAGTTAAAAACAAACAAACAATCATCACACATAAAAGAAAAGAAAACAGCAGGTCAGTTATATTTTTGAGTTTTTTATATTTTTAACATGGCCTTAAATTCATTTAATGGAACTAGATCATTTAGATGTAACACATTTTGCAAATTATTCCAAGTAAGAGAAGGCTTTTTTTCCCAGCTCAGTAAAAACCCTTGTAACCTGGTAAGAGAGCCATCTGGTGGAACGGAGAGAAAAACCGCTGGAGTTTACATAAATATGCCGGCAATTTACCCAACATGGCTTTATATAGAAAAATATGCAAATGAAGTTGTCTACGTAGATTTAGTGACGTCCAGCCTACCAGTTCATACAGCGTACAATGATGAGTACGGTAACCAGAGTTAGTTAAAAAACGTAGAGCACATTGATACACAGACTCTAAAAGGTGCAGAGTACTAGAGGCAGCATCACCATAGTCCACAACACTTAAAAAAGTGGCCTGCACAAGTTTTTTCCTAGCTAACAAGTTAAAACAAGCCTTATGCCTAAAGCAGTGTTATAGTCGAGACCACCGCACTCGAGTCCGAGTCGAGATCGAGACCAGAGAGAGTCGAGATCGAGACCAGAGACGGTCGAGTCCGAGTCAAGACCGAGACGAGAGATGGTCGAGTCCGAGTCGAGACCGAGACCAGAGATAGTCGAGTCCGAGTCAAGACCGAGACCAGAGACGGTCGAGTCCGAGTCGAGACCGAGACCAGAGACGGTCGAGTCCGAGTCAAGACCGAGTCCATAGAGAGTCGAGTCCGAGTCGAGACCGAGTCCATAGAGAGTCGAGTCCAAGTCGAGACCGAGACCAGAGAGAGTCGAGTCCCAGTCGAGATCGAGACCAGAGACGGTCGAGTCCGAGTCAAGACCGAGACCAGAGACGGTCGAGTCCGAGTCAAGACCGAGTCCATAGAGAGTCGAGTCCGAGTCGAGACCGAGTCCATAGAGAGTCGAGTCCAAGTCGAGACCGAGACCAGAGAGAGTCGAGTCCGAGTCGAGATCGAGACCAGAGACGGTCGAGTCCGAGTCGAGACCGAGACCAGAGACGGTCGAGTCCGAGTCAAGACCGAGTCCATAGAGAGTCGAGTCCGAGTCAAGACCGAGTCCATAGAGAGTCGAGTCCGAGTCGAGATCGAGACCAGAGACGGTCGAGTCCGAGTCGAGACCGAGACCAGAGACGGTCGAGTCTGAGTCGAGATCGAGACCAGAGACGGTCGAGTCCGAGTCAAGACCGAGTCCATAGAGAGTCGAGTCCGAGTCGAGATCGAGACCAGAGACGGTCGAGTCCAAGTCGAGTCCGAGACCAGAGAGAGTCGAGTCCGAGTCGAGACCGAGACCAGAGACGGTCGAGTCCGAGTCAAGACCGAGTCCATAGAGAGTCGAGTCCGAGTCGAGATCGAGACCAGAGACGGTCGAGTCCGAGTCAAGACCGAGACCAGAGACGGTCGAGTCCGAGTCGAGACCGAGACCAGAGACGGTCGAGTCCGAGTCGAGACCGAGACCAGAGACGGTCGAGTCCGAGTCAAGACCGAGTCCATAGAGAGTCGAGTCCGAGTCGAGACCGAGTCCATAGAGAGTCGAGTCCAAGTCGAGACCGAGACCAGAGAGAGTCGAGTCCGAGTCGAGATCGAGACCAGAGACGGTCGAGTCCGAGTCAAGACCGAGACCAGAGACGGTCGAGTCCGAGTCAAGACCGAGTCCATAGAGAGTCGAGTCCAAGTCGAGACCGAGACCAGAGAGAGTCGAGTCCGAGTCGAGATCGAGACCAGAGACGGTCGAGTCCGAGTCAAGACCGAGACCAGAGACGGTCGAGTCCGAGTCGAGACCGAGACCAGAGACGGTCGAGTCCGAGTCAAGACCGAGTCCATAGAGAGTCGAGTCCGAGTCGAGATCGAGACCAGAGACGGTCGAGTCCAAGTCGAGTCCGAGACCAGAGAGAGTCGAGTCCGAGTCGAGACCGAGACCAGAGACGGTCGAGTCCGAGTCAAGACCGAGTCCATAGAGAGTCGAGTCCGAGTCGAGATCGAGACCAGAGACGGTCGAGTCCGAGTCAAGACCGAGACCAGAGACGGTCGAGTCCGAGTCGAGACCGAGACCAGAGACGGTCGAGTCCGAGTCGAGACCGAGACCAGAGACGGTCGAGTCCGAGTCAAGACCGAGTCCATAGAGAGTCGAGTCCGAGTCGAGACCGAGTCCATAGAGAGTCGAGTCCAAGTCGAGACCGAGACCAGAGAGAGTCGAGTCCGAGTCGAGATCGAGACCAGAGACGGTCGAGTCCGAGTCGAGACCGAGACCAGAGACGGTCGAGTCCGAGTCGAGACCGAGACCAGAGACGGTCGAGTCCGAGTCGAGATCGAGACCAGAGACGGTCGAGTCCGAGTCAAGACCGAGTCCATAGAGAGTCGAGTCCGAGTCGAGACCGAGTCCATAGAGAGTCGAGTCCAAGTCGAGACCGAGACCAGAGAGAGTCGAGTCCGAGTCGAGATCGAGACCAGAGACGGTCGAGTCCGAGTCGAGACCGAGACCAGAGACGGTCGAGTCCGAGTCGAGACCGAGACCAGAGACGGTCGAGTCCGAGTCAAGACCGAGTCCATAGAGAGTCGAGTCCGAGTCAAGACCGAGTCCATAGAGAGTCGAGTCCGAGTCGAGATCGAGACCAGAGACGGTCGAGTCCGAGTCGAGACCGAGACCAGAGACGGTCGAGTCTGAGTCGAGATCGAGACCAGAGACGGTCGAGTCCGAGTCAAGACCGAGTCCATAGAGAGTCGAGTCCGAGTCGAGATCGAGACCAGAGACGGTCGAGTCCAAGTCGAGTCCGAGACCAGAGAGAGTCGAGTCCGAGTCGAGACCGAGACCAGAGACGGTCGAGTCCGAGTCAAGACCGAGTCCATAGAGAGTCGAGTCCGAGTCGAGATCGAGACCAGAGACGGTCGAGTCCGAGTCAAGACCGAGACCAGAGACGGTCGAGTCCGAGTCGAGACCGAGACCAGAGACGGTCGAGTCCGAGTCGAGACCGAGACCAGAGACGGTCGAGTCCGAGTCAAGACCGAGTCCATAGAGAGTCGAGTCCGAGTCGAGACCGAGTCCATAGAGAGTCGAGTCCGAGTCGAGATCGAGACCAGAGACGGTCGAGTCCGAGTCGAGACCGAGACCAGAGACGGTCGAGTCCGAGTCGAGACCGAGACCAGAGACGGTCGAGTCCGAGTCGAGATCGAGACCAGAGACGGTCGAGTCCGAGTCAAGACCGAGTCCATAGAGAGTCGAGTCCGAGTCGAGACCGAGTCCATAGAGAGTCGAGTCCAAGTCGAGACCGAGACCAGAGAGAGTCGAGTCCGAGTCGAGATCGAGACCAGAGACGGTCGAGTCCGAGTCGAGACCGAGACCAGAGACGGTCGAGTCCGAGTCGAGACCGAGACCAGAGACGGTCGAGTCCGAGTCGAGATCGAGACCAGAGACGGTCGAGTCCGAGTCAAGACCGAGTCCATAGAGAGTCGAGTCCGAGTCGAGATCAAGACCAGAGACGGTCGAGTCCAAGTCGAGTCCGAGACCAGAGAGAGTCGAGTCCGAGTCGAGACCGAGACCAGAGAGAGTCGAGTCCGAGTCGAGACCGAGACCAGTGAGGGTTGATAACCTAATTTACATTTATTTACTTAGAGAAATCCTTTTTTTTTTACTGAATTTACTTAGAGTTTAAAAAATATGATCAGTTTAGGGTAAAAAGGCCACATAGTAGGTGGTGTTAAAAGTAATTTTATTACAATTTGTCATGCGCAGTTGCGCACTAGAAAATCACCAATCACTGGGCGTGTCAATCAATTTAAAGAAATATTTTATTAACATACATTAATAATCATGAAAAATATTTTGAATTGAACTCGAGTGGACTCGGGAATAATTCCGAGTCCTAAAAAAAAAAATGTTCGAGTACGAGTCAATTCCGAGTCCAAATGGACACGAGTCCATGACAAGACCAAGACCATTAAAATACGAGTCTCGAGACCGAGTCCGAGACGAGTCCGAGTATCGAGTACTACAACACTGGCCTAAAGTAAAACCCCACTCGTAGTTTCAGCTTTTTTACAAGCTTTTCAACATGAACTTTGAAAGAAAGTTTGTTGTCCAGCCAAAAACCTAAATGCTTAAATGAGGAAACATTTTCAATTAGGTCCCCATCTAGTGTGTTAATGGTTATTTTATCTGGGGATTGGGGACGAGCCCTAGAAAACATCATAGATATAGTTTGCAATGAAGTGTGGAAACAGCTGTTCTTCCTGTTTAAATAAAGTGTCCTATAAATGAGTGTCCCATCATTCTGTAATGCTCATTTCGCTGCGCCTGTCCTTGTTTCAGTCCTAGTGTTCGCTTCAGTTTTTCAGGGCTATTTTTTACCCTTATAATTAAATGTAATAACATTTTTGTTACTTTACCCCTTGTGAAGCTGCAGTCGGCCGTATGTGCTAGTGTGTTCATGTGGAAGTGTTTTGTGAGGCGACGACATCGCTCTCCTCGCTGCTGGCTCTTTGATGTCATGAACCACTGTGAACTTTCTCTTCAATTATAGGTTGGTTCTGAATTATGAAGATGTCCTGGATTACCGTTCGTTCAAGCTCATGTAAGCGTCTCATTTTCTCTTATTCACACACACAAGTGTGCTGGGCTTGAACGGTGTCCTGTATTCTCCTCAGTTTTGTGATGAACCGCCGCCACTATAAGGTGTCTGCCCGTCACTGGTTCACCATGGACCGTGTCCACCTGGAGTATGATGGGAAAAGGGCCTCGTTCAATGGCAGCCGGCACATCTACGCCCCGTCCGAGTACTCGTACCGCTGTGAGTCCGTGAGCAGCTCCTACTACCCTCAGCTGTCGCCACACTCGGACAAGGACAACGCCAACGACTGGCACGTCTCTTTCCAGGACTTCCAGGTAGGCTCTGGAAAACTGCACTGGTCTGATCGACCGTAGCCCCGGATGCAGAGAGCTTTCCTAATACTCGACTCGAACGCTTGAACATTAGTGTTTTCCTGTAGAGTGTCTGTGTCTGATCCTCCAGTAGTGCCCGGAGTTATCCCTGTTCAAATTCACCAGTGGATTTTACACTTAAAGCCCTGTTTTAAAGGGATAATTCACTTTGAAATTAATTTTTGGTGTGTTTTATCTTACCTCGAGTGCATCCAAGATGTAGGTGTCTTTGTTTCTGCAGTAGTTTCAATTTTGATATTTTTAGCTCAAACCGTTGTTGTCTGTCAGTCATATAATGGAGGTCTATGGTCACCACCTCAAAGAGCATGCACAGAGAAGTCCAAATTAAACATGATTTAATGACTCGTGAATGTAAGTACACATTGATGGCCTAAGACACGAAACGAGCGGTTTGTGTGAGAAAACCAACAGTATTTATACCGTTTTTACCTCTTGTAACCACAGCCACGTCCAAGTGATCTGAATCATGTCCAACTGAACCGAACTGAACCATATCCAGCGTTCCGCTGGAAGTGATCGCTTGACCTCCATTATTTGATATATTAACGGTTTGACCTAAAAATATAAAAATTGAAACTACTGCAGAAACAAAGACACCTACATCTTGGATGCCCTTGAGGTAAGATAAAACATACCAAAAATTAATTTCAAAGTGAACTATCCCTTTAAGATCATGTCTGATGAAATAGAAATGGTTAAGATTAAAATTTGGACGCATGCTGGAGTTTTCGGTTTCATAAAACGCATTAAACTCTACTTTACAAAGACGTGAAACTCACCGAGGGGTCACTGATATGTTCACAAAAATCACTGCAAAAATTCAGTGCTGCAAAAAGTGTGTATGTGTTATATAGGCGCACAGCGCCATGGGGGGCGCCAAAACGATGGTAAAATTAAATTGAATTTAAAAACTATATATATACTGTATATATATTGTATTTCTATATGTAGCTGCTGTTGTGTGTTTCTAAATCATTACTGCATTTCTTCAACGTTATATAACATTTTAGAGGACTAATAGACTAATAGAGGCAGCTGATAAATTACACTTTAGCCGAATCCTGTAGGAAGGACGGCAAACACATCTTTCTGATCGACAAATGCCTTGATTGCAGTTTTCTGTTCGTCTTTTAAAATTCTCTCTCTCTCTCTCTCTCAGGTCCAGGGCTTTAACATCGCTGGGAGTGAGTTCTCGTACGCCAGTGACTGTGCTAGTTTCTTCACTCCTGGTATCTGGATGGGTCTGGTGACGTCTCTGCTCATGGTGCTGGTCCTCGTGTACGGCCTGCACATGATCATGCAGCTGCGCACCATGGACCGCTTCGACGACCCCAAGGGTCCCGCCATCTCTGTGCCTCAGACCGAGTGAAGGACACAGACCCATTCCTCACGGCACTGCTTTAGTTACACCGTTAGAGTTATGACCAGAACAAAAACACAACATTTATATATGTGTGTGTGTAATAAAGAAGAATCATTTTACGATCATTAAGATTTTTTTTCATTGTGACTTTGACAATTACAGAGTAAAATGTTTAATGGTACTGAAATGAACTTCTTTTTATGCAAAATACAGTTTTGTGAGATTCAATCTTAAATATCTATAAATCTACCTTATATTTTCTTTGTTTATTTACTTTTCCAGAAAACTCGTATTGAATTTACAGATTGGAGCACCATTAAATGTAAATTGTACACTTTGCATAATAACTTGTTTGTGTGAGAGAAATATCTATTAACAGACAGCTGAAGGTTTTTAGTGTGCTGTAAATATGGAATATGAAAAGAAGTATTATTTATTGGTGGTATGCGTGTATGTTTGATTCCAGCGTTTCCCCCTGTAGTTTCCTTCATAGTTGTGTGTCGTGTGTGTGTGTTCACAGATGTGTCTGCGTGTTATTGTGAGAACTGACATATTTTGTGACCAATCTGGGTTTTGATTTAAAGGGAAATATGTTGTGAGCTGTATTTAAATATTAGAAAAAAAAGGTGACCAGAGATATTCTGACATATTGTTTTTGTTGAAATATCAGCATGATGTATACTTTAATAATGTTATTGTAGTGAATCATTGCACAAACAGCTCTCATAAATAACATGTTTTATATTGATGGCACATCTGCTTTATATTTCAGATATCTATTGGCATTTCATGCTGGCACGTTTTGGAGGTGTACACTCTTCAATGTGTGTATTGTGTCCGTGTTAAATAAACTTCATTGTGACAACTTATGAACTTTTTTTTTGCCTGACAGTTTATGTGGTTATGAAGGCTCACATAGTTATGGTCCAGGTTTGAGTTCTCCTGCCCATCCAGTGTAAACAGCTTCTGGTGAACGAACTTGCCTGTCCTCGAGAAGACCTCGTCAATCACTTTTCAACGTGTTTATGAACGCATTACTGTCTGTAGATATAAATTACTGTATATATAAATATATGAGCTACCACTGGGGTTAATAGCATTTATGAGTTTCCCCGACCATCCTCGGAAAAATATATCGCTCCCCAGATGTAGATCTACATTTTGCTTCGTTTCGCTCGGACATTTAATGCTAGGACTAGGACTAGGACTAGGACTTGTGTGTTTTAAAGCATGACTTTAGGAATAAACAGACCAAAATTCTCAAAAGCTTTATTTTCATGAACAATCAGACAAGTATTATTTTGTTAATTTGACATAGGCTGGAAAACACTCTCAAATGTAAACTGTCTTTACAAAAAAACAAACAAAACAAAAAAACAATTGAAAGATGTGGATTAAGGGAATCCCTTTAGGATAGGTATTTCTTTCCAAGTGTAAAACAAACTGCAAAAGCTACAATTTAATGTAGCCTGATTAAATGGGATAAATAATTTTTTTGAATAGAGGAGAATATTAGACACACTTCGGATAATTTTTTTTTTTTTTAAATTAGCCTCACGCACATATTTAGACTCACGTCTGGCCAGTGTGTAACCAATCATAACTGATTTACTAAATAAATGTGAAGGTAAATTTTTTTAGGTAAATAGTAGACAAATTAAACCCAAGTCTTAAATCTACACAACTTGGCATTGACTTCAAAATTTGTTTACAGGAGTTACACAATAATCGAATCTTCTGAAAATATTGTCCTTAAAATTACAGACATATTAATAAGAATATGTAGAGCAATAGAGGATCTGTCAGTCTAAATTGTCTCTCCTCGAGTGTGAATATTTACTGTCCTTTTGTTTGAGAAATCAGGGAGAAACACCAGTTCCTTCATCCTTTACTCCACCCCTTTCATGAACTCCAGGAACTCTGCAAGAGAAGGAGAGGGGATCATGGCACAGGGACAGCCATGGACTGGCATCACACTGGGACTTTAAGGGTTAACTTAAAGCAACACAAATACCACCGCCTGTATTTATTAAAATCATTTTCACTAAATGTTCATGGCCTCCAGAATATTTTGTTGTATGTCTGAAGCTGCAATATATCACAAGAAAGAACAAACCCTCTACAACAACAAAAATCTATCATCACTTGAATGTAAGTTTCATAAAAAAAACATTTTGGACTGAACAGAAAGTTGAGAAAATCACGCTTTTTTTATGCAAATGTATATATAATAATTTGCAAAATCAAATAATTCAAAATCTATCAGACAACAACAAAAAACTCTAATTTTGAAAAAAAAAATATTTTGTGCAATTCACAAAATATATATATCATATATCAAGTTGTGAGGAGAATTTGAAGCATCAAGAAAAATGAAGTGAAAATGAATGAGTCTCTATGGACCCCTATTGGATAGATGTGGTCATTGCACTTTAATTCCTTAACTATAAGAAAAACTGTTTTTCGACTAACCACCAGATGGTAGTATTCTATCCCTAACACATAGAGCAATGTCCAAAAACTGTTTAGATTTTATTATCATCATTATTTAAGTGTTTTTTTCTTTAAAAAAAATCATTTTTCATGTGCAATTTATGGCCTAGTTATGTAATTGTGCAGTAAATAGGTAGAAAACTTAAAAAATTCCAAAAAACACAGCATAAATGATTGGTTTAGAAGTGAATTTAAAAAATGATATATAGTTTTCCATATAAAAATGTATATTTCCTTATGCAATCACTCTTTAAAAGTCTGGGGTCAAAATGACCCCAAACTGCTTAAGTGTTGTCCTTTTTTTAACAGTGATTATGTGTTAAAAGACTACAAACATGTGCATAAGCAATGCTTCTATCGCTTCTTCTTCGCCTGTGTTTTCTGAGCAGGAGATTCTGTACTCTTTCAGAAGATGTGTATTAGCGTTCCCTACCCATGATGCTCTGGGGACGCCACACCAGCTACTCCATGCTGACCAGTGCCTTCTTGTACATCTCAAACTAACAAACCAATTCAGGAGTGAACTTGAGTAAAAGACAACAATAAAACATGCTTACCATCATAATCGATTTTTCCATCATTGTTTTTGTCTCCGTCCCTCATCAGTTCCTCAATGTCATCTTCAGTGATGGTTTCACCTGTACCTTCCAGCATCAGCTTCAGTTCATCGAGATCAATGTACCCGTCTGTGTTCCTGTCCAGACACCATCACAAACCATCAGGAACCACTAAACCCACCACAGGTGAGGGATCTGACTTCAGTTTAAGGACACACATACTTATCAAACATGCGGAAGAGTTCTGCCAGTTCTTCTTCTGACTTTCCTTTGCTGTCGTCTTTCATGCATCTCACCATCATGACCAAAAACTCCTCAAAGTCCACCGTCCCACTGCCTGCAAACATGCTCCATCGTTTCAGCACATGCTCACTTCAGACAGTATATGACTTTTTATTTTTGATATGCTTTATATTCCCCCTCAAGAATATTACTACATATTATTCAGTTAAATAAATAGATATGTGTTGATACTGATTATTTTATTACAATTTTAACAATAGTGATTATTTTTTAATGGGTATGTCATTTTTAAAAATAATGAACATTTTTGGAAAATAATAGACAAATCACTACTACATGACACATACTTGCCATTAATAACAAATGTATCACAAAAGCAAAATTGAGAACAATTCAATCAAAATGTGTCCCAATAGGTGTAAAATAAATAAAATAAATATTGTGATTAAGATATGATTGCAAAATTGACTTGTATGAGATCGTGTTTCTTTATATTATAACATGATATATCACATGAGCAAGAGAACTGTTTTCACAAAAATTAGCACAATTGCAAACGTGATATTGATTTTACGCAAACTTTCAATAAACAAAATGTATTTTTGAAAACAGTCTCAACATTATTTGTTGTAGTTGTAGCTTCTGTGCCACCTCTGCAATGCAAAAGGATACATTTTGTTGTTAGTGATTTCATTTGATTGGTAACAGCTCTATTGATTGTCTTATTTTTTCTAATTGTATTTCTTGTTTAAGACATTTCTCAAGCAGTTAATGGGGATTTTTTTAGATGAATTTGAAGAGGCCTGGTGTGGTCTTAGTCTTGACTCTGTCTTGCCCTGCCTTGGTCTCTTATTGGTCTTTCTTGGTCACAACACACACTGGTCTTGGTCTTGACTTGGTCTCGGTCTCGGTAGACTTGACTAAAACACTTGTTGCCATTTCTGGTTACTTATTCTGGATTGTTCTAGACTTTACCATCCTCATCCACCTCGTCAATCATCTCCTGGAGTTCTTCCGGCGTGGGGTTCTGGCCCAGCATCCTCATTACCTTTCCGAGCTCCTTAGTGCTAATACAGCCATCTTCAGCGTCCTGAATGAAAATATCAAATGCTGCGCGGAACTCTACAAAACACAAACACAGAACTTAAGCAGTCAGTTAAGCTTTTGTGTACAGTATAGTTTCTCTGTCATGAACAACTTAATGATATCCCAGCTAGAATGTTCTGGGAACATTATCATGAAGTTCTAATAATGTTTTCAGCGGGTAGTTTTATTTTGGTTCCCAGAATGTTCTCCTAAAAGGAACACAGCAAAAACTCCAGTGTTAAAGTTAATGAGATAATTAAGTGAATAATTGAGTGATGATTGAGTATTATTAAAGACACGTGATGTTAACAAGCAGAAACACTGAAGGAGAAAATCACTATTTTTATGTCACCATTATGGTGATCAGCGTGTGCTTTAGTTGGGCTTGCCCTTACATTTTTAACTTTATATTTTGTTTGACTGTTGTAACTGAGTTATAACTGCCAGATAAGCAAAGAGAAAAGATGATCTGAAGTTGTTGGTCATGTTTTGACATAATCATAATTTTACCTGATTCACAAAACTAATTTAGAGCCTAATCTCTGACTTATATTTATATTGTCGATTGCAGCATCACAGTGATTTTATAGCATAAGAGCCAGAATTTTCAATATATTCAAAAGGATTTCTTAAAAGTTGTTATGATAAAATAAAAATAAAAAAATTGTGTAGGGACAAACAGACATCAAGCATGAGTGTATGAATCTCAACAATGGTGACAAATGAAATATTAAATTAGGAAAAGGACAGTTCAGATCATAATTTATTCATACTGCAATGCATGATGGGAGCCATGAATGAGCTTTAATTGGTGGCACCCAGAATGCACTGCAACATTGTCACCATTGTTGAGATTCACAGGCTGAATCTTGATGTCTGTGTGACTTAATAAAAAAAATCAAAAACTTTTGAACAGAAATATTAGTAATATTTAGGATTCTATAGAAAATTGTATGCTGTAGTCACCAGGCCGCTGTAATCAACAAGGTACCTAACTATCTAAATTGTAGTCCTCTGTTGTAAGTAACTTTGGTTAAAAGTATCTGCTAAATGTAAATGATGTTTAGTGATTCAAATGATGATTACGACTAAACATAACCATCACAACCTGAACACCATTCTCTTTGTTCATGTGGCAGTTACAACTCAATTATAACAGCCAAACAAAATCTAAAGTTAATAATTTAAGGGTCAAGAGCCCAACTAAAGCAAACACTGATCACCATAATGGTGACTTAAAATGAGATTTTCTCCATTAGTGAATCTGCTTGTTGACATCAGGTGTCTTCAATAATGGTCAATCATCACACAATAACATAATTATCTAATCAATTTTAACACTCTTCGGTGTTCATTTAACACTCATATTTGGACACTTTAACTCTTTGAGTGTGGAGTCAAATAAACTCCCAGGAGAGTTAATTTAACACTGGAGTTTTGCTCTGTAGGATAACACACGTCACATTACAAGAACGTTTTATAAAATACAT